AAACCGGAATGAAAATTGAAATTGTCAACATGTTTACATGAGACCGGCACGAAAATCACCAAATTTTCCATCTATTCCCCTTGCCAGACAATTTTCTTTTTTATATGGCTTTTGTTAGGATGTGTTGTTCCAATTTCAAGGTTACGGCCGAGACCTGTCTGAAACCGGAATGAAAATTGAAATTGTCAACATGTTTACATGAGACCGGCACGAAAATCACCAAATTTTCCATCTATTCCCCTTGCCAGACAATTTTCTTTTTTATATGGCTTTTGTTAGGATGTGTTGTTCCAATTTCAAGGTTACGGCCGAGACCTGTCTGAAACCGGAATGAAAATTGAAATTGTCAACATGTTTACATGAGACCGGCACGAAAATCACCAAATTTTCCATCTATTCCCCTTGCCAGACAATTTTCTTTTTTATATGGCTTTTGTTAGGATGTGTTGTTCCAATTTCAAGGTTACGGCCGAGACCTGTCTGAAACCGGAATGAAAATTGAAATTGTCAACATGTTTACATGAGACCGGCACGAAAATCACCAAATTTTCCATCTATTCCCCTTGCCAGACAATTTTCTTTTTTATATGGCTTTTGTTAGGATGTGTTGTTCCAATTTCAAGGTTACGGCCGAGACCTGTCTGAAACCGGAATGAAAATTGAAATTGTCAACATGTTTACATGAGACCGGCACGAAAATCACCAAATTTTCCATCTATTCCCCTTGCCAGACAATTTTCTTTTTTATATGGCTTTTGTTAGGATGTGTTGTTCCAATTTCAAGGTTACGGCCGAGACCTGTCTGAAATGTATTTGTGTTTACATTCATCCCGCTCTGAATTCATGCTAGTCTGAAGTCAGTAGGCTCGGTCTAGCAGGCGCAATGACTTGAGATCGTTCTGAGTTATTTTCGTTCCGGTCTCATGTAAACGGCGCCTAAGTGTCTAATTGTTATAATAGGACAGTATTTGAAATTCATTAAAAAAAATGTCACTTCCCCGACTTAGATGAGAGACGTTAGCATTCAATAGTTTTCTTTTCATATCCGCACAACATCGATCGTAGATTTTGATGCGCCAGACCCTTATAGCATAAACTTTCATATCAATTTAGTTGCAAAAACGTATTACATCACCAGCTGTTATACATTCCCTGCAGTTAAATAATTTCCAAAGACGGTGTCAATGTACACAGAGAATAAAACAGACAGCTGTGTTGTAACGGATAAGCAACTAGAAAAGTCCTTTGTAGGTTTGCACGGCAATAAAACATACAATACTACCGTTTGTGAAAAAAACTTACGGATCGAAAGCTTTGCAGTAATAAATTTACGTGGTGTTCCCACAAACAATAGTATTATAGATAAACAACTTACTGCAAAATATAACTAGAACTTCGACGTTTCAAGCGAAGGCCCTTCGTTTATATTGCAGGGTTTATATGCAAAGCACCTTCTTAATTATAGAGCAGTCTCTTGATGCCGAAAAAATTGTATGGCTTATAAGTTGTAATTACTCAGTGAATGCGCCGTATACATGAAACTGTCTTTTACAGTTTCAATATTAGTTTGTAAATCTCTGAATGGTAAAACTTGCCAATACTTCAATAATACGTTTCTTCAAAAAGCTTTAGTTTTGCAAAGTTAAATTCTCGAACGTGTAAAGGCCCACACAGAGCTGACGCGATTCGGCAACGCGACCCGAACTTTCAGTTTTCAACTGACAAATAAAGCTGTCAACGGATAAAAATTTTACAAGGTATGCAGACTAAATAGCTGGAATTGCTAAGTGGTCCCGAATATTTGAAAAACAATGAAAAATATTAAAGTTAAATGTCATTGAAAACTGAAAATTTGAGCCGCGTTGCCAAATAGCGTCCGGTCTGTATGGGCCTCAAGGCACTAATAAGATGAAAGTATCACGAAATTATTTGAATAAACCACATTACATATATGGGGGGCGAATATCCTAAAGGGGGGGGGTATATTCCAAAGGCATTCGCTCCTCTGGTGGGGTGCGATATTCCTAGGATATTCGTCCCCCGGGGGCGGTATTCCTAGGAATATCGGCCCCTTGTGAGAGGGGCGAATCTGCTGGCGGGGGGGGGGGGACAAAAGTCCTGTGACAACGGCATGTGCAAATAGCAGTACCTTTTCAAAAATTCTATCTTGCCCCCCCCCCAAATACGAGTTTGGCCCTCAAATGCCCCCCAAATCCTGAGGCCTGGCGCCGTCAATGCTTCCAGGGCCCCGCGATTTAGGCTAAAAGTATATGATGCTATATTATTAATTATTATTTATGCAAGCTGTTATTCACCAAAAGTGCCCACTTGCCGAGTATGTGCCTTGCGCCGCACATTCTCTCAATTTAGTCGGCCAATCAGCAGTAAGTTGCTGTCTGGAATCTGTCGGATTTTTTGGCTTTGTCCAAGGTTTATATTCTTTCCTCGTCGCTTCAACACACCGCTGAAAAGTAGTCCATATTCGGCTGAAGAAAAAAGGCTTCCCCACAGTCAAACGTCTATCAGACACTCGCTGGTCAGCGCATGCCGCCGCTGTTAAAGCCGTGGTCAAGGGCTACGAAGAAATCAAACCTGGATTGAATGAGATTGCTGCAGACCCAGAGCAGAAAGGAGACACTCGAAAATATTTAATGTGGATCGTTTGGAGACTGGCATACTTACTCTGGTATGGCACGGTATTTTGAAGCGTTTTAACAGTAACAGCCAATTGCTTCAATCCGCGGATCAACACATTAACTCGGCTGCTGCTATTTATAAATTCCTGGAAGAGTACATGAAAAATATGAGACCAAAATTTGAGCAGTTCGAGGCTGAAGGAAATTTGCTCAGTGGATGCGAACATTACGAAGACGAAATGAAACGAAATCGCCAGCGGAATCGTCGTTATGATAAACCAGGATCAGCTCCGGAAGTAGAACTTATACACCTGCCGATAAGTTTCGAACGGCAACGTTTTTGGTTATTATCGATAATTTGGTTGCTGAGTTCAAGAAACGTAAGGAAGCATACGCCACTGTTGCGTCAAGGTTTGCATTTTTGAAAACTATAAAGGAGCTACCTGACGACAAACTGACACTGAGTGCAAATCTGCTTTGTAAAATTTTACCCATGTGACCTTGAGCCGAGTCTTTCAGACGAGCTATTACAGTTCTCTGCCTTCCTGAAAACCGAGCTTGCCAAGAGATACTTGGATTCGTCAAGCTCTGTAGAAGCACCAGTCCTTTCTGAAATCCCTTCCTCGCCCACACCATCTGAGGATTCTTCAGCGCCATTTTCACCAGTTACTACAACTCCAAGTGATCATGAAGATAAGTCATTCAACGATAACGATGAGCTGCATGAGCATGATCAAACCATGGAATTCGAAAACAATGATGCAATGAAACTAGAATCACGCGAGATTCGGATGTACAAGCTCATATTAGAAAACAAACTAGAAACTATATTTCCAAATATATACTTCGTATTTATCTTTCTCTTATGACATCTAATTGCTCTGGCGAAAGATCTTTTTCAATATTGCGTTACATAAAGAACTCGTACAGATCCACCATGGGTCAGAGACGGTTGAACGACCTGATATTACTAAGTGCTGAATAAGACATTCTTCGTGAGCTTGACATAAATTCATTCATCAATGACTTTGCGCTCATGAAATCTCGAAAATTGATAACGGGAACATTTTAAAGTGATATACAGCTATTTCAATTAAGGTTGTCCCCGAGCTAAGCGGTAAAGTCGAATACGAACGCGAAAGGCTTGCTCGAAATTGCTAATAAATTAATGGATTTTTTAGGACCTTTTAGGGTTTCCCAGCAAGCGTTCCGCGCTCGTATTCGACTGTTCCATTTTGCTCGGGGACAACCTTGATTGAAATATAGCTGTTTGCCACAAGGATATAATAGTAATTATAAATAAAAAATTTCAAATACCAAGTTAATATATATTACTCTTATCTCTAATTTTGTCTCAGACTTTAGAGTTGCTATATGCGAAGCGAACGCTACGTCGCTACGATTTATGCTTAAAACTAGGTAAATGTCCAGGTTATAGTCTATAGAGAAGGCAAAAATTTGGGGTCTCGCGCGAAGAAAATGCCACGGGCCCCGAGTTGGGTAAAAACGCGGCCCTGCCTAAACTCATGTCCGTTGAACGTCAACCGGTTAAGGCATGCATGCATGCGCGTTCAATCTCTGGCTCATGCGTCAACTTGCATGGCCTTCATTGCTGCAGTATATACTGCTTTCTAATAATAAATTATTAAAAGTTTAAAAAATAGTAAGAAATTAACATGCAAATATAAAAGTTAATTATATGCAGGTACATTCTATTTACAGAAATAACGTGTGTTTAATTTAATGGATGGGTATGAGCGACTTTCCTTTCTTGGATAGCATTTTGCTTTCTCTTGTGTTTTGGGCTAAGAATCTAACTGAAAACATAATGTCCTCAACTCCTTCCCCCTCATGTGCGAAATAGGTATCCAATCTAGCATCAAACTGTCATCGCAGACTGCCATATTTTACAATGAGCTGAAATTTTCTATTTCTCGCTTAGTTGTAAATAGAAATTTCCTGCACAGCTTCGTTTTGTATCAGGACCACAATATCATCTTTCAAGAAACAATTTATTCCTGGTGAACTGTGCAGGAAAAAGGCAAGAAATCCTTCAAAATTTAGTGTTTTCTTAGTGTTTGAAGAATGAAATTAATAGTGGTTGAAGAAATTCGCCAGGGAAAATTCAGACCGCGTTTACAAACTGCCCAGCCGCGGATTTTGAATTTTTGTCTTGCTGTTTGTCTTATGGATTAGAATAGGTGGCCTGGTTTTGCTTAGGATTTAACAAACGGCGAAAGGTGATCATATAACCCCAGCTGAAACTTTCTGTTGTTTTTCAATATATATTGCTGATTTTATACATTGACACCGCATTTTCAGAAACGAATAAGTTATTCTTTCGCCGCTGGGGGCATACGAGGACAATGTTTCCAGCTCTAAACCAACCACGTTCCCGAGGGTTGGAAAAACTTGCATTTTGCCGCAAGTAAACGTTGACACTAAAAATGCTAACTCGGTACATTTTTTGCATGGAGTGGAAAGGCTTGTATTGTCGCAACTTAGTATGATTAATTTATGTTGACGTTCTTTTTATTTTGCTTTGTGACCTTGTCTTAATGTCAATAAAGCCTGTTGAGAGATCAAAAGAGCATCTTATAGCGCGACAAAGAAAAACAAAGAGAGCGATGTACACGAACAATTGTATGGAATATAAACATCTCTACTTGTGTAATACCAATATTAATAATAATAATAATTTTTATTGAAGAAACGTTTTCATATTACATGTTTTTCTAAAAGGACCTCAAGTACTGAGACCGAGGGAAACAGTGTGTTTTGTGGACCCGAACGGCGATCGAGGGGCCACAAAACACACTGCTTTCCCAACGTCTCAGTAAATAAATGTTTTGCCATACAGTATATCAGTGTCAAAGTATGAATAATTCACCGGTTATTGGATTGAACTTAATTTGAAACGAAAACTGGATAAGTGGAACGCCGTAAATGTTTAATAAAAAGTTTAATAAATGAACGTTGGAACTTTATGGTTGACACGCATGCGCATTGCACCCATTTTATTATTGACGGATCAATGAATGTTTCATTGTGGACCGGTTGCCTCCTCGGCAAAGCACACAGTGAACGTGACGTTTTGTGGATCGGCACGTGATACGGTTTTGACCAATCGGCAAACAGAAAAATTGCACTTTGACACAAACCATGACAAGATATTTTAACGTACTGGTAAAGAAGGATATAACAGAAACTTTATATATAATATACGCTGGATTCGCTAAGGCTTGAATGAGGAAGCAATCAATGGACAACTCGCATTATAGATTTCGGGCCGCTAAGCATGACGGTAGGAGGCTGTAGGCTGCTTCCAAACGAAATGGCCGCCGTGGGAGCGGACGATTTTGTTTGGAGGAATATATGGCGGATTTTAAACTATTTATTGCATCGATCGATACGTTTTTTGTTATGGAACATAACAAGGGCGCTTTTCTCTATATTCTGGGGAAATTTGTGGAATTTCTGTCCATTAGCGGCCGAGAAAATGCGTTGAGAGTGGCACGTCTTGTAAACATGCCTTGCAGAACTTTGCTCGCGAAAATCTGACCTTCCCAACTAAAGCAGGTGAGTTGGCGTTTCAATGTTCTGATAGTTGTTTGTATTCGATCTCATAGTTGTTTTACATGTTCGCGTGTCGAAATGGCATTTTAAGCTTCGTGAAATTTACAAGTTTTGTCACGATTATGTTCGAATTTGACATTGGACGTGCCCTCACTTCACCTAATGTTTTACCTTTGTTTTGGCGCGAAAATACCCTGAATTTAAATAAGCAGCATTCAATTGTAGCAAGAAAATTTAAAAATAAAAGATTTTTCTGGGTTTACTGCTGTTGTTTGTCCTCTAGCTGAAGTGCAATTTGGTTCGTGTCCTCCATTCTTAAATTTTTTAAATTACTCGTGAGTTCTAGAATAATTTTAGGTAAATAAATTTAGGTATATTCAAATATTAAACTTTTTAGGCCTTCTTAAAGTCGTTTTAGATTTTGTATATAAATTTTTGGATAGGATATAAAAATATTTAGTTAAATTATAAATAGTAAAATTAATATTTAGGGTATATATTAAAATTTGTTAATATTGTAAATACTGTAAATACATGTAATATATTTTAAAATTGTACAGTCTAGGTCAGTTTTTAAACGAGTATTTAAATTTATTAAATATGGAGGTTGAACCTAACACTTCACTTGAGGTGAATAACACTGAAAATGATGAAGTCACTGAACAGGTGTGGAAAAGATTTTGCTGTATACCACAATGTGAAAGCAACAATCGAAAAATCCCGGAACGGTCTTTTCATAAGATTCCGAAAAATCACGAGTTAATTTAAAGAAAAAGTGGGTACGACGTTTGAAAAGAAAAGGTGTAAGAGAGCCTGGTCCCAGTCACAGGGTGTGTTCATTGCATTTTGTGGAAGGCAAGAAAACATACATCAACAACATTCCAACAGTTTTTGCAACAACAGGTAAACCAAGAAAAAGCCCTACTGTAAGAGTAACAGTTGACAATCTAAATAATCCACAATTTTCATCAAGTGAAACAAGTATAGCAGTAAGAGATGATGCAGATACTTCAACCAGTGCAGTTATTAGCGAGAGTAATTCTACTTCTACAGTTGTTGAGACAGTTGTTCAGACTGAGGATCCAATAAATAAACTTAAGGAGGAAATAGTTGTACTTGAGACAGATAAACTACAACTACAAAAGAGCATGAAGAAGATACAGAAAAATTACAATTAAGTGCATTTCGATTAGAAAGATTTATAGGCAGTGACAGTGACTTTAAATTTTATACTGGATTTCCAAACTATTCAAGTATTAAAGCATTTTATGATTACCTTTCTCCAGCCTGTGAACACCTTATGTACCATGGTTCAAACACTGCTCCTATAACTTCTGAATCGCAAATAAAATGTGGCAAACAACGATCTATGTCCCCAGAACAGGAATTATTCCTTGTACTTACAAGATTACGTTTGGGGTTACTTTTGCAAGATATTGCTCACATATTTAACATCTCACCAACCAGTGCTTCTCGCATTTTTAAAACATGGATTCCCTTTTTGCATCAACGTCTTCGTGCCCTCCCAATTTGGCCCAGTCGTAAATTCATTGAAGATAACATGCCTTCCTGCTTTAAGCAAGTCTATCCTAAAACCAGAGTTATTATTGATTGTACTGAGTTTTTTATTGAAATGCCATCATCATGTAGAAGTCAATTAATCACATTTTCAAGCTATAAGAATCATAACACTGCCAAGGGTTTGATGGGAATTTTACCAAATGGATATCCAAGTTTTGTTTCCAACTTATATGCAGGTAGAACTAGTGACAAGAAAATCACTCGTGACTGTGGGATTCTAAATCTACTAGAGCCAGGAGATTAATGTATGGCAGACAGAGGTTTTGACATTGAGTCTGACATGCCAAATGGGGTACTCCTAAATGTTCCACCATTTTTAGATGGACAACCTCAGCTTTCGGCTGAAGATGAGGCAAAAACTAGAAAAATTGCATCAGTTCGGGTGCATGTCGAGCGTGCAATTGCACGGATTAAAAAACTATAGAATATTGCAGCAAGTAATTCCTTTGACACTGGCTGATAACCTTGACCAAATCTGGGGTGTTTGTTCCTATTTAACATTGTTTTTGCCTCCCATTATTAAAGAAAAACAATCATAGACTGTTAAAGTTGTGTGATGACTTCTAATACTGCAAGTCCTCAATTGTATGCATGTGCTTTATGTGCACATAAGCTATATTATAAAAATGTTATAACAGTGTTTAATTAATGTATACAGTATTATATCAACTGTGCAGAGTTTATTAATTACAATTCTGGTAACAAATATTCT